GAAAAATCTCCTTTGTGCCCTTGATGTGCTGTGGCTAAAGAAAAGCAGAATGAACATGATTCCAGCTACTGAGTTAATCACAGGGAGCTGCAGAAATTCCAGCTACAAACGCGTGCTCAGCCCTGCTGTGGAATGGAAGCTTTTCCGGAGCACAAGGAGCATTGTTGGTAGGCGAAGACAAATGTACACTGGAGTGTAATGATGGGAAATTCAGAGTGTCCCGACACAAAAGATAGGAGACCTTATTTCGTCTGGGAGAAGTGAGAAGCCAGCTCATTATGGTCCTTGTGCGGAGGGTCTGTGAATGTAAATAAACCAGCAACAATTCAGACAGAGCCTGCATTGTGTGGCGCTGATGTCCAAGAAATGAGTGGGTGTGACGAGGACCTATGGAATCTCCCCGCTCCCAAAAACCAGCAGGGCAGACTCTCTTTGAAGGAAATAGTAGGTGATATGCTTATCTGGTGCTCTCACACTCGTGCCCCATCTCACTTAGGACAGGTGTTAGGCGTGTTGCTTAATGCTTCCCTGAAAGGTGCTTTTCTAGGGCAATGACTCTAAGTCAAGTCTAGAATGTGGCCAGCACATTTGGCAGCAAGTCCAGCTGGTTGGCATATTCAGAGGGGCATCAGTGTGTGCCCCGCTCACCTCTCCCCACCCCCTTGTGGAATCGGCTGGCAGGATTCCCACCCCAAATTGCCCAATGGCCACGTTCTTTGATCATTGTCCCAGCACTAACCTGGGACCTTCTATATGTGAGAGAGGCAGAGAGAGACGTGGTCTATGAACACAAAGTAAACTGCAAGCATGGTCCTGTGACAGTCACCCAGGACTGCATGCAGATAGCATGCATTTTATACTGCTCTTCCCTCACATACATGCCCATGTGCAGCACATCATGGTCTCCAGCCAGGAGAGCGAGTGGCATTGAGTGTGCCTATTCCTGAACTGCACATGCTGCCAGCATGTGGCACTACTGCAGAGCTGCATGCAGCAAATGTCAGATGTGATTAAGAGACTCAAGCCTGGCATATGTATTGAATTAGGGAGCAGAAGGAAACCTGGCCGTCTTATTGTTATCTTATGCACGTTTGGCTAAATATTCCCTCTCTCTGTCTTTGTAAGTGAACATGGATGTTAGCACGTATGAGGTCATGCCCAGAAATGAACTAGGTGCTTTAAACAAATATTAATGCCTGAAAGAACCCGTGAACTAAAATAGACTAAGTCTGGGAGGGAAAGCAGAAGATCACATTTGCAATCTCCCCCCTCCAAGTCTTTTCTGCCTGTAGAGCAACAACTGTACTAGCCTGAATTTCAGGAGTGCTGAGCATCCCCTGATCCTACTGTAGTCAATGGGAGCTGCAGGCACTCAAAGCCTTTGAAAATCAGGCCCAATATTTGACTCATGATCAATGTTCCTTCTAATATTTGCCATCAGTGGGTGGAATAAATTTTGTTGTGTGTTGCAAGGCATGTGTGGATGTGCACCACCAGTGGAAACACATGTTGCTGGATGTTGGCGCTCTACTGGGTGGCACCTGAATGTCTCCTGCATGGCCTCCCAAGCACACAGCGTACAGGGAACACTGCTCATGACCCAGGAAGCGGGTTACTGAGCAATTGGGAGAGGCAATGCAGATGATGCCTATGGATAGAAAGACAGCAAAGAGGTGTTCATGATGAAAGGTTTATTTGTGAAGCACCTTTGGTTGGTTTTCATATCACGAAGTGACGGGTTTTGCGGCAGCCACCGAAAGTGGTCACCTGCTTTCCAAAGCAGATTATTGTGCGCTTTCGATCACTTTCATAAATTGTGTTGAAGCCCATTAGAGCTCAGAGATTCAAGCGCTGTCAGGTACTTATACTTGGCAGTGTGCTATGCAGGTAGGTGATGTCACCTGCTACCTCTTGATCAGGTGGCTAATGTACCTTGCCCTACACTTGGTAATGCCGTATCCTCCCAGGACACAGAGGAAGTCTGTGACCTGGAATTGGATCTATTGGGGGAGGAGGGTGAGATGGATCGAGTACAGCCCCAACATCTCTTTTGGCCACGGGGGCTGCTGGTGGTGTTGCAACAGGAGCTTCTTGGGAGCTGGAGTCTGATGTATCCTGGGCAGGGCCGCGGTGGAAATGCCTGAGATCATGGTGCTTGAAGCCTTTTGACAAGGAGGGAATCTCTCCTCCCAAGTGTTCTTTGGTCAGGTGATCATGGGTCACTCCAGCCTGGAAAAGAAAGCCATCTGTCCTCATTGTGTGCTCTGCCACTTGGAACTGATCTCAGATGGGCACTCAGGTTTTGACTAGAAATGGACCCAGAAGCAAAGCCCCAGAACAAAAATTCCCCTGACCTTTGGAAAGGGATAGCTCCCGATTCGAATGCAGAGACATGACCTGCTATGGTCCGTTCTTTAAGAACCAGGGGGGCTGTGGCATCTGTTTGCCCTTGCACCGGAATAAACCCTGAGCAAATCCCCAGTGCAATACTTAGGTCCAGATGCTGCCCTAATCTGCATTTTACTTTCCCCCCCGTAAAACGTTTTGTCATGGCTAACACTGCTCTACTGGTGGCATCAGTGATGGGTATGCTAGGCCAGGGACGAGCATTTTAACTGCCAGGTCATTTAACAGCAATACAGTGGCTAAAACACAAGCAGATGCCTGAGCCCCAATATAGATGGGCACTCTCACTATTGCTATCACCAGTGGAGCTACACCTGTGATGGAAAATTTTAAGCACAGTGTCTAATGAAGACTAAAGAGTGTTCAACGGCTGATCCAAAGCCAGGGCATAGTCGCGAGTGGGCCTGGGTGGGCCACAGCCCACATAGCATCCAAGTTCCCATGACCACCTTATGCTCCAGTAGGGTAGCAGAGTCAAGGCACATTCACCCACCCTAGTCATGCCTCTGCTCCTGCACATTTTTATGGCAATTCCAATTTTTACAGTGTCCTGGCCAGAGCATCTATCCCTCCCCCTTTCAAGTCTGGCTTGTGTGGGAGAGGCGGCTCCACCGAATTCAGTGCCCGCTCATCTGTCCCATTTTGGCTACGCCACTGATTCGGAGAGTGTAATAGACACCTGTTAGAATGAAGGACTGATCAGGCTTTGTAGCAATGGACCTGGTACACAGGTTGGCCTCTTTGCACATAATTATGACCACATCCAGTCTTGGCTGTGGGGACCAAAGTGGAGCTATGTTTGATGTCAGCTGACAAATGTGGCTAAGTTTCCAGCACAGATCCCCTGAGGGAAGTCGGATGGAATGCATCCCAGGCGTTATGCCAGAAAGTGAACCCCTTGGGTGCGTCTAGACTCGTTTGCGCAAAAGCAGCTGCTTTTGCGCAAAAACTTGCCAGCTGTCTACACTGGCCGCTTGAATTTGCGCAAGAGCACTGACTTTGTAATGTACAAAATCAGTGCTTCTTGTGCAAATACTTTCACGCTCCCGCGCGGGAAAAAGCCCTCTTGCGCAAGAATACTTGCGCAAAAGGGCCAGTGTAGACAGGGAAGAACTGTTTTGCGCAAAAAAGCCCCGATGGCTAAAATGGCGATCAGAGCTTTCTTGTGCAAAATCATGTCTAGACTGACCATGGATGCTTTTGCGCAAAAGTACTTTTTGCGCAAAAGCATCCGTGCCAATCTAGACGCGCTTTTGCGGAAATACTTTTAACGGAAAAACTTTTCTGTTAAAAGTATTTCCACAAAATCATGCCAGTCTAGATGCAGCCCTTGAGTTGCACATAGGAACTAGTGTGATCCATGGAGGAAGAGCTCATTCCTGGACATGTGCTCCAAATACTTTTAAGATTGTGGAAATATTCTGAAAATAAAGCCTGTCCACAGAGTTGGTACCTGATGGCCATAAACTTCGCAGGACACTGTGATGTTGCCTTCGGTGAGAACTGATGCCTTGCAGAAGCCAAATCGCTGTCAAAACGAGAAGACAATTAGCTACAGAATCCATAGTTAAAAAGTGGAAGATGGTTGCATTACAATACCTAAGATACAGTCTGCAAAAACAAAACAAAACAAAACAAAAAACAACAAAAAACTCCTAACACCTATACATTGTTTCCTTCTTTAAGCTGTAAAATGCTCCCATTGAAGTCAATGATAGCATTATCTTTAAAAGCTTCAGAGGGGTAGCCGAGTTTGTCTGTAACAGGAAAAACTTAAAAAACAACAAATGGTCTGGTAGCAGTTTAAAGACTAACAAAACATGTAGATGGGATCATGAGCTTTCATGGGCACAGCCTACTTCTTCAGATGACTAGAGTGTTGGACGTCCAGAACCAATATAAAAATGCACAATCAGTGAGTGTGTGTTAGCACTTTTCCAGTGTGTGAGTGTATGCAAGGACAGCCAGCTAAAAGACCCACTCCCTGTACAACTACATAGGACTTAATTTGTATAGAGGAGAAAGATGAAGCACTATGTACATACAATCTTTGATCCTAAGGTGTGAGGGAGCATAGGTATCAAAACAAAGGGCGCTAACAAAACTTAGTCTGAAGCACGTCAAGGTATGGACCCCAGGCTCCAAATTTCTTCTTCTCCATCCCCACTCTGCCCCACGACAGTGCTCCCCCTTTGCCCCTTCTCCTAATGCCCCACCCTTGCTCCACTTCTCCCCTCCCCCATTCCAAACCTCCTCCCATGGGCATGTTCTGCCTTCACTCTGCCTCTTCCCTCCTGCCCCCACTCCACCCCTTCCTCCCACACCACCAAGCAGCTGATGTGTTTTCCAGCCTTGGTGCACCCTGGAGTCGGCACCTATGGTAGCAAGTGCAACTGTTCTTTGCTGTGTGTTTGCACAGTGCCTTAGCAAAACATGGCCGGGGTCCCTAATTGCTAATGCAGTTCAGATAATAAAGGGTAACGTGCAGCATGTGAATGATTCACCTGGCCTCACCCTTTTAAAACTGCCTGCACTAGAGTGCATCAGTGTATAACTCCTGCATAATAAAGGGGGGGGAAAAAGATGGGCTGTGGTCCTGGAAATCACGTCACAAACAGGATATGCCCCTTGCACCTTATCTCCAGATAGACTCTAATCTCATTCAGGATCAGGTCCAATATCACCTGCTTCATCTCAGCCTCTGAGTTGGATTGATCAGGATTCTGCATACTTACCACTTGATCTTCAGGCAGACAACCATCCACGTGTTCCTGGGCATCTTTGCCTGAGCAGTTAGTGACAACAACGGCAAACTCGACCGAGACAGAGTCTGGGAGATGCTGATAAAACATGAATACCATTTAGCTGTCTTTGCAGCATGAAATTATGCAACTGCCAAGGGCGTATAAAGGGGTGGATTTTCTAAGAGGACGGTAAGTTTCAGTCCTGTGGCTCCTTTGAAGTCTGTGGGAATCACATGACTGGATGCCACTGAACTTTGGGGAAATAACATTGTGTTTAGCACAAGCCAAACTTTTTTGCAAACTCAAGCATAATAACCACAGCAGGGATGTTCTGTATTGTAATATCACAAGGATCAGAGTTTCAATAGTTACCAGAATTTGAGCTCGTCCGATTTCAACGAGTCTGAGGTAGACATCTTCATGTTCTCCGTTATACTGAGCGAGTGCAAGATTAACAGCATTGATCACCCGAGTGTCATTTAAAACGGCTAAAAGTGGACAGTCGGGGCAGATTTGAATAATATCTTCGGCTGAGTCTGTAGATGAAACAAGACAGGTTAGGCTTGGACAAGATTACTCGTTGTACCTGAATACCCTGTAGATCAGTTCTGTGGGATATGGATTATTTTTATACTCTCCCAAACTGTGCTTTTGGTTTTGTATGATGGGCAAGAATCACTGAACTCTGCCCAGAGATGGCAACTTTTCACAGATGGGGATGTGCATTTGCATGCCAGCATCTTGAGAAAGTTTCTCTTGATCTTCAGTAGCTCTCTGCTGAGTTCTCATTCAGTTTTAATCCATCCTCACTTGGACAAACTACCAGTGGCATCGATGAGAGTTTGGCTAGGTGAAAATGAGTGGGCTTCAGCATTTAGCCAATTATTATCATTAGAAGAATATGAGAGAAAGGTGAGTGTAACCTACTGGAATGTGTGGGGTGTGTTTCTCCTGACTAAATTGAGTGCTTCTCACGTGAAGGGGAAAAAGGTACTAGATGCTGCCTGTAAATACAGCTGTCCAATTCAGTTGACTTCACTGGCATTTCACAGGTATATGTGAGGGCAGAATTTGGCCAAGAACATCCTACAAAAATCCTGTTTACCTGGTAGGTTGCAACACAATAACAGACCACTATGAGACATCAGGTAGCAACAAAAACTCTGTGTAAGTAGAACCACCACAAGGAGCCCAGATAGTGGAAGAAAGGAGCAGTTTGCTTTCTTACACTACTCCCCTTGCTGGTGCTGCTGTTCTGGTTGTTGCTTCTGGTGCTGCTCTGTTCTTTCAGTCCCAACTCCCATTTCTAGAGCAGCTTCTTAGCCCCACTGTACAGCTGGGGACCTGAGCTACAGTGAGACGGTGACTTGCCCGAGATCACACAGGAAGATCACAGCGAAGCAGAGACTTGAATATGGCTCGTCCAAAGCCTAAGACAGTGCCCTAACCACTGCATTGTCCTTCCTTGCTAGAGGACTTCAACTGGAGGAAAAAAGGACTTGGAAAGCCCATTAACTGGCATGTTCTTCCATCTCGGAATGCTTATACACCTCACTGTGCAATACTTTAGAAGAATCATAAATACCCCTAGGCTGCGTCTAGCCTGCGCCACCTGTCTACACTGGCCGCGAGTATTTGCGCAAAAACACTGACTTTGTAATGTACAACATCCGTGGTTCTTGTGCAAATACTCTGACGCTCCTGCTCAGGGATAAGCCCTCTTGCACCAGTGTAGACAGCAACATTAATTTCTTGCGCAAGAAAGCCTGATGGCTAAAATGGCCATCGGAGCTTTCTTGTGCAAGAGAGCGTCAACACTGGCACGGATGCTTTTGCACAAATACTTTTAACAGAAAAACTTTTCCATTAAAAGTAGTTGCACAAAATCATGCCAGTCTAGACGCAGCCCTAGAGTTTATGCTGATAATATTCCTGTTTCCCCATCACCATCCCCGAGCATAAATCTGACAAAGAACAAAGCTTTCACCTGGTTTTGAGTGACATTTTCTAGATAACATGGAAAAGCTTCCATCCAGCTTGAGCAATTTAACATCACACTCGCCTTCAACAACCTACCGGTACAAAAGCAAAGGGTTACATTATCCACGTAAGTAAGAACTTCTCAGAAAGGAAGCAAGATTTGAAGGGGATAGATTTTTATTAGTAAGTGCAGGGGAGTGAGGCTTGGCATGGTTCTTTCCTCCAAACCCGGAGAGCCTGCCAAACTCTTCCCATGGGCTGTGTCTAGACTGGCCAGTTTTTCCGGAAAATCAGCTGCTTTTCCGGAGAAACTTGCCAGCTGTCTACACGGGCTGCTTGAATTTACGCAAAAGCACTGACTTCCTACTGTAAGAAATCAGTGCTTTTTGCCGAAATACTATGCTGCTTCAGTTCAGGCAAAAGTCCCTTTGGTGCAAAATGTTTGCACAAAAGGGCCAGTGTAGACAGCTCAGATTTGTTTTCCGCAAAAAAGCCCCGATTGTGAAAATGGCGATCGGGGCTTTTTTGTGCAAAAGCGTGTCTAGATTGGCCACGGACACTTTTCTGCAAAAAGTGCTTTTGTGGAAAAGCATCCATGCCAATCTAGACGCTCTTTTCCGAAAATGCTTTTAACGGAAAACTTTTCCGTTAAAAGCATTTCCGGAAAATCATGCCATTCTAGACGTAGCCATGGGGTGTGATTTATAAAAGGCAGACGCAGACCCTGAGCTGCAAAATTTGGATCCAAACCTGAATGTCAGAAGTCTTGATAGTTCAGAGGTCTCCTTTAGTCCAAGCTTATCTCTAATAAAAATGTTCCAAGAAAGCAAACAATTTCAACACACCTTTTGCAAACAAAGGCTTCCTGCAGAGTCACCATCAGTGTTCCCTTTGCTGATCAGTGCCATGGTGGCAGCATAATGTGCTGTCTGTGCATGATGCCTGACTATATTGTGGATGTGATGCATGAGCAGAGGGGCTCTCCCAAAGAAAAACAGGGCTCACTGGAGAAATGGAACAGGTAGAGATGGCCTGGAAATGGATGACAATCTGAGTTTGAAGCTGGATTCAGCCTTGAACTGGGTTGCTTGGGCCCATCTCTAAAAACAATGAGCAAAATTCTGGCTCAGTTTTCTGCTCAGCCCTCCTTTAGGCCGAATCCCCATTGATGTGGATGAGAGTTTTGGCTCAGAAAGATTTTCAGTTTTGGTCATAAGAGTCTACATTCCTCCCAGGCAGAGGATCACTTAAAGTTCAGTTAAGCCCTTAAGGATTTTAGACTTGTCTGTACTTGGGATTTATTCTAGTTCCACTATGGGTGGACAGCCACTGGTGCGCCTATACCAGTACAAGCCCCAGGGGTAGCCAAAGAAAACTGTGGTTTGCACAGATGACCCTGACCATAGCATCAAGCAAGGGTGAGTCCAACTGGTGCAAATCACAATTTTCCTTGTCTACAACTTGTCTGTGTCTAGACTGGCCAGTTTTTCCAGAAAATCAGCCGCTTTTCCGGAAAAACTTGCCAGCTGTCTACACTGGCCGCTTGAATTTCCGCAAAAGCACTGACTTCCTACTGTCTGAAATCAGTGCTTCTTGCGGAAATACTATGCTGCTCCCGTTCAGGCAAAAGTCCCTTTTGTGCAAAGCTTTTGTGCAAAAGGGCCAGTGTAGAAAAGCTCAGATTTGTTTTCCGCAAAAAAGCCCCGATCACAAAAATGGCGATCGGGGCTTTTTTGCGGAAAAGCACGTCTAGATTGGCACAGACACATTTCCGCAAAAAGTGCTTTTGCGGAAAAGTGTCCATGCCAATCTAGACACTCTGTTCCGAAAATGCTTTTAACGGAAAACTTTTCCATTAAAAGCATTTCCGGAAAATCATGCCAATCTAGACACAGCCCGTGGGTTTTACAGATAGCTGAATCCTGAGCACAGACAAGCCTTAGAATGTGCATGGGCCATATGCAGAAAGTTTAATCCAGCCAGGATCAGTATTTTACCAAACTTACTCTTCTGTCCTCCCCTCCTGTGGAAAGGTGGCCTAACAAGACTAGCTAGAAATCCTGGAGACAGTCAGAGGAAGAGAGGAGCTATAGGCGGGTAGGAGTGGGAGAAGGTAGACTCAGCATGGAGGAGGCGATTGCTCACATTTGAACGACTAGGAGAAAGGAAGGGATTAGTGTTTCAACGCACTGAACTCTTTTCCCTGGAACAGGCTGCGATTGAAACCCTGCCAGAAACAAGTGGCAGCACCTCCCCGACCTGTGCGCACCGAGATCCTTTCCTGAGAACTATGTGACAGTTTAGCCACCTATTCTCCACTTCCCTCCCCGGCACTCCCACAGTTATAATATGGGGCTGGCGACGTGGTGAGGGAGCCCAGCAGGGGAATGGCGCTAGGAACATTTTTGTTGTGCTCAGTGTTTTCACCATTTATGGATAGGGCCAGCGTGTATTTGCTTAAGGTAGCTCCTGGAACAAGCCTCCCAGACCTGATAGACAGACTCATGCGAGCATGGCTGAGGCTGGCACACTAAAACAGCCATGTGGATGTCCTACCGCAGGCTGCAGCATGGGCTCTGAAGCCTAGAGGATTGGGTGGACTTGAAAGCCTGAGCCACAACATCCACATTTAGAGCACTAGCTTGGGCCATGCTAGAATGAGTCTGGGAAGCGAGACTCCCTCCCAACTGTAAGGCTGTGTCTAGACTACATGCCTCTGTCGGCAGAGGCATGTAGATTAGGGTTGTAGGCAAAGGCAAATGAAGCCGCGATTTAAATGATCGCGGCTTCATTTACATTTACATGGCTGCCACGCTGAGCGGACAAACAGGTGATCAGCTGTTTGTCGGCTCGCGCACTAGTCTGGACATTCCCCCTGTCGACATCAAAGCCCTTTGTCGGCAGCCCCGGTAAACCTCATTCCACGGGCTTCATTTGCATAAGCTGGGCGCCGCCATTTTTAAATCCCGGCTAGTTCTAACCCCGTGCCGTGCGGCTACACGCGGCACGGAGTAGCTAGTTCCATGAGGAGTACAGCTAGTTCGGATTAGGAAGCCTAATCCGAATTCGAACAAGCCGGCATTTAAAAATGGCGGCTCCTGGCTTATGCAAATGAAGCCCGGGAAATTCAAATCCCGGGCTTCATTTGCAAGTGCGGTATGCCTACATTACCCCGCTAGTTCAAACTAGCGGGGTAGTGTAGACATACCCTTGGAGAAGTAAACTAGAAATGTGCCCATTCATGCAGTAAGTCAGTCAGGTGTACCTTGCTTTATAGGGGTATGTCTACACATCAAAGTTATTTTGGGATACCAGAGGTATCCCGAAATAACTACCCCGCGTCTTCACAAGCCACCTGTTATTTTGAAATATTTTTTGAAATATCGGGCATGCTATTTCGGCATCCCGGTAACCTTCATTCCACGAAGGTTAAGAGATGTCTCGAAATAGTACTTTATTTTGAAATGTGGTGCTGTGTAGACAACACCAAATTTCAAAATAGCCTATTTTGAAATAAACTTGAAATAAGTACACCATTTGCGTAATGCAGATTGCGTATCTTATTTCGAGTTTAGAGTGCAGTGTAGACATAGCTTGGCAGTGTCATGCTATGGATGTAATGTCTTTCTTAAGGCTCTAGTTTTGCATGTGCTCACCTGAGGCACGGACCTTTTGTCTGATATGCACAGTAATGGTCACATTTGTTATTCTGCTGTGGTTTGTTTTCTGATATGTGTGTGGATTTGCCATTGATTTCTCTCTTTGTTTAGAGGAAGGAGGGCAGCTGTATAAGGCAGAAGAGCTGGCTTCTGTTCCTAGCTCTGCCACAGCGCTATTATGGGATGTTCAGCAAGTCACTGTAATTACTTTGTGCCTCTGTGTCCCACATCTGTAAAATGAGGATAATATATATTTCACCAAGGTCCTGGAAGGTTTATCTAATTATCATTTGGGAAGTGAATCAGGCTTGTTGAATGGAAGCCATTAGAGAAAAGTAAAATGCCAAATAGTATTATTATCTATGTATGTAAGGAGAACAGATTATCAATGTTGAGCTTTACGAGATGAACTTCATGAGCCTGATCTCACAGGAGATTTTTGCCCTGGAAAAAGAGAAATACCCAAGGAAAGCTTGTCTTGCCCTGCTGTAATCAACACATAAATTCACATTTCCATATACCCACCGAGCTAGTAATAATTTCAGACACTTACATGGTCTGTTATTGGCCTTACAGTACAATTCTCAGCAGGCAGGGGATTCACAATGTGGCATTCAGTCTGTAGTAAGTCAAGTTCAAGCAGAAATAGCTCTCCAGTAGGCCTCTGGAAGGAAATGTAGAGATTTTCACTAATTACTTCCATAAACATCACCAAATTTCTCCCATTGAACTAAGTTCTAGTCTCTGCTGCTGATGCCATTTGAATAATGATTTCAGTTGGTAGCTGCGATCAGGAAAATACCCCATAATGTTGAACTCTATAAGAAAGATGAGCCAGATCTTTAGCTGGTATAAAGCAACTCAGGTTCAATGAAGCTCTACTGATTTGCACCAATTCAGAAACTGGCCTAAAATGGGTCTAATATGCCCAATCTGAATTTAGTGGGTTGTAAAAGAAGAAACCAAAAACCAAACCCAGATCACCTGAGTCATTTAGTCTCCTGCTGTCCGACAGTCCTTTGAACGTGACATGCGGCTTTGCTGGCACAAACACTACAGCTGAGTAACTCCATAGTGTTAGGCAAAGTACCAGACAAACAGCATGCCAGGATGGGCTCAGTCCTGCTGGCCTAGGGTTGCCAAGTCTAACTGAAGCTCTTTGGGGAGATTCTTTTTCCCCCGCATGACGTAAAGTCATTTTCTTAAAATCTCCAGGATGGCTTTCAGTAGTCTCTGGGAGATGGATGCCGATTCTGGGAGACTCCAGGCCAATCCTGGGGAGTTGGCAACCCCATGCGGGCCTCGTTCAGCCAAAAGAACATATCCTCAGCTGCTGACTATTGGATTCGTTCCATGGGCTGGTGAATACTGAGTGCGTTCTGTTAACTGGACTGGAGACACACTGAGTTACAGCTGCTGAGCATTGGCTGAGAGACCCCCACTGCTTTAGGACTACAGGACTTGTTTCAGCCACACCTCCACCTTCACAGCCACAGCATCTGAGTACAAGCGAGGGCTGAGATACTCCTGAGTTCTAAGCTTGGAGTCGGTCACTGACTCCATGGCATTGGGGACTCACGTGTGGGACTTCTTTTCTTATGCATTCAAGTGCAAACCAAGAGTAATTCCCCTACAGCCAATGGCGTGAGATTGGTGTAAAACGAGGGTGGGTAAGAGGAGCATTAGGCCTGCCTGCCCAGTGAATTATTGTGTGGAAAGCCCTGGTGTGAATCTGTAGAGCATGAGCTGGCTGGACAGTAACGTCCTGGGTGGTCACAGCCACAGTGATGTAACAGGCCCCTCACACAAATGAAAATTCAGGTCATAGTTGTTTATTCTCCATGTCCCCCAGTGCACAGTGGGGATTACTGGTCAAATTTAGATCCGGTGTCACACCACTAAAGTCGTGGTGTTACACTAGGAATAGATTTAACCAAGTAACATGTACATGCCTCACAAGGGCAATCCTCACGCTGTGGGTGCCCAGGTTCCCTGGGAAGCACATAAATGAGCCTCGGATGTGTCTCAAGGCCTAACAAGGAGATCTCATTTGTAAAGTCAGCCCCTCGAATTACTATTTTAATATCGCCTAACGCCTCTCTCTCTTTTCGAAGAGGCACGTTTCGTGCTAAGGATAATGGGCCCGATTCTCATCTGATGTAAACCAGTGTAGCTCCATTGGCATCAACAAAGACAGGGCAGTGAACACCAATTGAGGACCTCAACTCTACATTGATCCCATCAATTATTTCTAAGCCTTTGGTTTCTGAAACATTTGATTTGCCAGACAACCTCATTGCATTTTTTTTTCTTTTTTTGAGGTAGCACTTACCCTGGGCAGCACCTTGATCTTCTCAATGCTGTTCAGTGCGAACTTGTATCCATGAAGATTGTGGCTATTGATGTAGTCCACCGCTATAGCGGCTGCTTCTTCGGACTCTGGGTCGTCACAGTCAATGACTCGTGAAAGCAGGGGCTGGAAGGGACCCACTGGGATACTTTTGCAGTTTAGGAGCTGAGTGAGCAATAGTAAAGCTACTAATGCCTTCATGGCCCAATGAGGAAAGCTGGTTTCTTTCAGCACAATAGAGCTAGAAACAATGTTCTAATGGCCAGGTAGAACGAGCTAGAGGAGAGTCTCGTTTATATAATATACCACAACAAAAATTTGCATAAGTGCAGGATTAATATTTGTCCCAGTTCCAAGAAGCCACGGCAAACAATGAAAAAAAAAAAGAAAAGTAAATATGTTAGAACATGAAACTTCCTGATTAATATTAGCCAAAGTAAATTTTATCAGGCAGGACATTGCAAAATCTGCTAAAAAGAAGACAGCATCAGCAAAATGTAAGACAGCTTTAGGAGCTCTTGTTTACCATCAAGTGCAGTGGGTAAGAGAAGGGAACAAGTCCTGCTGCAGAGTTAGGTGCAGAAGAATTCAGAAGTATTGTAGATGGGCCCAACTCTACTGAAATCCTGATGTGGGAGGCTTATCTCACTCTGGTGCAAATCAGGAATAAGTCCAACAAGATCAGTGGAGTTAGCCTGGCATAAATTAAATCAAAATCAATCCCTTGGAATCAGAATCAGCTCTGAACTAAATTGTATCTGAGCTTTGCCTCTCATTTCAATGGTAGTAACAGTGGATACTCTATGGATTACTATACATTCAGATTTCAGTTATCCTGGAGTAAACCTGGAATAATGCCAATGACTTCAGAGCAGTTACTACTCTATCTGAATGCTGGTATAAATTAAATTATCCTTATGCTGGGAGAGGCATAAGGATCTTGCACAAAAACGGGTTTTGGCGCAAAACGGAAATGTCCACACTGCACAAAAACCCCTGGCGCAAAAACGGATCGGAGGAGATTATGCAAATGAAGTGTGAGAAAATGCTAATCAGCACTTCATTTGCATTGCCTCTTCTGGCAAAACTTGTAGTGTAGCCATAGTCTTAGGGACAGTGAATGACAGTTTGGGAGTCCCAGGTGAATCACAGAATCCTAGATCTCAATGGGACCAGCCTAAACCTCCTTACTGCAGTTTAGCCCCTTGCTTCTTATGCTCTCCTCAGAGGCCAAGGACAACAATTTTTCTCCCTCCTCCTTGTAACACCCTTTTAGGTACTTGAAAGCTGCTATCATGTCCCCTCTCAGTCTTCTCTTTTCCAAATTAAACAAACCCAATTCTGTCAACCTTCCCTCATAGGTCATGTTTCCTAGTGCTTTAATCATTCTCGTTGCTCTTCTCTGGACCCTCTCCAATTTCTCCACATCTTTCCTGGAATGTGCTGCCCAGAACTGGACACAATACTCCAGCTGAGACCTAATCAGTGCAGAGTAGAGAAGAAGAATGACTTCTCGTGTCAGAATCATGTTTGCTTTTTTTGCAACAGTGTCGCACTGTTGACTCATGTTTAACTTGTGGTCCACTATGACCCTTAGATTCCTTTCTGCAGTACTCCTTCCTAGACAATAATTTCCCATTCTGTATGTGTGAAACTGATTGTTCCTTCCTAAGTGGAGCACTTTGCATTTGTCCTTATTAAACATCATCCTATTTATAGGGCTTGACAAACCATGGCAAAATCTACTCGCCAGCCCCTCACTGTGCATACACAAGACCCGCATTGCACATGTGCATGCCGCTGGTGAACGGGGTGACCGGTTGAAATCTACTCACCACTACTCACTACTCCGCCCTGCCTATTTACCTCAGACCATTTCTCCAATTTGTCCAGATTATTTTGAGTTATGACCCTATCCTCCAAAGCACTTGCAACCCCTCTCATCCTGGTATCATCTACAAACTTTATATCCGTACTCTTTATGACCATATTTAAATTGTTGATGAAGATAGTGAATAGAACCGGTCCCAGAACTGACCCTGGCAGAACCCTACTTGTTATACCTTTCTAGCATGATTGTTAACTGTTAAGAACTACTCTCCGAGAATGGTTATCCGGCCAGTTATACACACATTTTATAGTAGCCCCATCTAGGTTGTGTTTCCCATAGTATTGATAAGAAGATAATGTGAGACCGTATCAAATGCTCTACTAAAGTCTAGATATACCACATCTATGGCTTCTCTCTTATCCACAATACTTGTTATCCTATTCAAGAAAGCTATCAGTCTGGTTTGACATTATTTGTTCTTTACAAATCCATGCTGGCTGTTACCTATCACCTTATTTTCTTCCAGTTGTTTGCAGATGAATTCCTTAATGTTTTGCTCCATTATCTTCCCTGGCACAGAAGTTAAGGTGACTGGTCTGTAGTTCCTTGGGTTGTCCTTATTTCTCTTTTTATAGATGGGCACTATATTTGCCCTTTTCCAGTCTTCTGGAATCTCTGCCAACTTCCATGATTTTTCAAAGATGACAGCTAAAGATTCAGATACCTCCTCTATAATCTCCTTGAGTATTCTAGGATGCATTTCATCAGGCCCTGGTAACTCGAGGACATCTAACTTCTAGGTAATTTTTAACTTGTTCTTTTCCTATTTCAACTTCTAAACCTACCTCAATGCCACTAGCATTCCGTTAGGTATCCAGTCACCACCAACCTTCTTTGCAAAAATCAAAACCAATAAGTTGTTAAGCACCTCTGCCATTTCCACATTTTCAGTTATTGTTTCTCTTAGTAAAACTAAGAGTGCATCTACACAGCACAGCTTAACTAAAAATAAGCTACAGGCAACCTGCACTTTACGACCTAATTGGTTCCTGGAGAACCGTCGTAAGTGGAGCTGTCGTAAGTCGAACTCTTATTTCCCATAGGTGCAATGATATAAATGGGGGTTCCATTCCTGGTCTGCTTTGCCTCCTGGGAGTTGTAGTCCCCAGCTGTGCCAGGTGGAAGCAGCGCAGTGCAAGCTGCTCCCATAACCAGCTGGGGCTGTGCTGGGAGGAAGGACAGGACCCACTCTGGGGAGCCGGCCGAGCAGCCGGCAGGCATGCTGAGTGGGAAGGGGAAGTAGGAAAGGATCTGCGCTGGAAAGCTGGTGGAGCAGCCATAGCTGACTGGGAGCTATGCTGGGTGGAAGCGGCGCTGTGCGAGCCATTCCCATAGCCAGCCTGGGGCAAGCGGGCTTGAGAGGCTGGACCGGAGCAGGGTGGTCGTAAGTCGGGGGTCACCTGTAAGCAAATTGAGCTACATCAATTGTGTAGCTTATTTCCAAATAGCTTATTTCGAAATCGGGAGCGTCTACACAGCACTTATTTCGAAATAGAGCGCTCTTCTTCTGACTTCCCTTCCTCCTCGTACAATGAGGGTTACAGGGGTCGGAGTAAGAAGTCCTCCAGCTTGACAATATTTTGACACTGTTTTGAAATAACTGCCTGCTGTGTAGACGCTGTGTAGACATACCCTAAGTTATCACAATGGTCCTTTCTTGCCTTGAAATCTGAGAGTCTATGAATTAACATTGCAATATGTGCTAATCTGCCACAGTCTGTGGTGTCCAACCGGAGGAATTAAAATAACTCCCTCCGTAGCATACAAAAAGTAACTCCTCTCACATTTTGCAATGCACATTGCCCTTTCTGTACAGTTATGTACCCAACATAATAAAACAAACTTTGAGACAGAGTGTAAACACGTATGCAGCCAAATGGGAAAATATTTGAGTCCAGGAGGATCAGAGTGTGTGGGTGGCATTGCACAGAGTGTTGGTCCCAGCCACTCCCTTGAAGAATACCTTTAAGGTGTTGGTTTTGTCCTAGACACCCTTTAATGGCTTGAGAACTATCTGCATGAGACACATCTCTTTCTACCATTTGATGCTGCCACAGATGAGATCTGTGGAGGTGCTTGAGTGACAAAGTCCCTTCTTTATGACCTCTTCCTTTCTCCATGAGCATTCTTTGGACTTGGAATTTCAGTCACCACCTTGGTCTAAATAGCTTGAATCTGGTGAACATCTCTGCATGCTATAATGCCCACATATTTGGGCACGATTTGAGGGGACGCCTGATGTTTGTGGGGGCTGAATAGCAGTGGGAAGTTGTTATTCACAGACCAGCATTTGCAGAAACTGAGGTGGGATCACTGGCATAGCCAGAACGGCTTACTTGGGTGGACCCTAACATTGCATGGGCAATGTTGGTGGGTGGAGTTAAGTGTCAGCACCCAAACCCTGCTCTCTAGCTGCAGCGCTGGGTGGAGTGAGGTAAGTTCCAGCATCCTGACCCCACTCCCTGGCTGCAGCTCCAGGTACAGCTGGATAATCACCAGCGCGGTGCCCCCCACTCCTCAGGTGGAGTGGGATAAGTCCCGGCTCTGCTCCTTATGTGCACAGCAGGGTAAGCCCCCACATCCTGCCCCCCCGCTCCTAGACTGGAGCACCAGGAGGAGTAGAATAAGCCCTGGTGCCCCAAACCTGCTCCCCAGCTGGAGTACCAGGCGACCTGGTGAGGGTGGGCTTGGATGCAACGTGGCCCATTCAGACCCACCTGTGGCTATGCCTCTGCGGGAAACATGTGGAAGTTTTGGAGTAGCCAAGAGGGAAGAGTTTGACCCTGGAAGACTCCCCAAGACTAACTGTAAAGACTCAGTAAATTGGGCCCTGGAAGAGGAATATTATTCTAAATTTGTCCTTTTCATATGTGTTCATTTTTTTAAATTGTATCTTTTGGTATATATGGTTGTGACTATTTTCTTCCACTATTTGATCTGAGGAAGTGGGTCTGGCCCACGAAAGCTCATCATCTAATAAACCATCTTGTTAGTCTTTAAAGTGCTACATTGTCCTGCATTTTGCTTCAACTACCCCAGACTAACACGGCTACATTTCTATCACTATTCTAAATAATTTAGATTGTGGAAAGTTAGTGGGGATATGTCTACCCTGGAATTAAGCACCTGTGACTGACACATGTCACCTGACTTGGGCTTGTGGAGCTTGGTCTACGGGGCTGTTTAATTGCAGTGTAGACATTTGAGCTCAGGTCTACGGCCCTCTCCCCTCGTATAGCCCCAGAACGTAGGGTCTAGCCCAAGCCCAAACATCTACTCTGCAATTTTGAGACCCACAGCCTGAGCATTGCAAGCCTGAGTCAGATGACATGGACGTTCCAAAAAGAGCTAGATAAATTCATGGAAGTTATATCCATCAATGGCTCTGAGC